GTGCTGCGTGCCGTTGTGTGGGCTCCCTGCTCCCGTGCTCCTTTGCTTCATGCATGGCACATTCTCCGTTTATTTTTATTTTTATTTTTTTTTTTAATTTTATTTTTTTAGCTTCAAACCTCCCAGTGAAAAATATTAAATATTCAAGGTAATAAAATAGATTATTATTTCTAGACTATATGTTCGGCCTAGCCCAAGGAGCGTCACCTGGGATACCCCTTGAAATAACCCCTAGACCACTGCATTGCAGGCAAGGCAAGGCACTTCCGCAGGTGATCCAGCTCGGCTTGCAGGCGCTCGCGCTCCGAGACCATCTTCTGCTTCTGGGTCCTTAATTCCTGCAGGCAGCGAAAGGGGAGAAAACGCCGTCAGGGCAGGCCAGCGGTGCAGGGGTGGGATCGCTCCGGGGGGCGCTGGGCTCGCCGGGATGCCCCACGGGGGATGCAGGGTGGTGCAGGGGACGGGTGCACTGTAGGTGGATGGGTGCGCTATGGGAGGACTGGGTGCCTCGTAGAGGCCGGGTGCCCCGACGCCACTCACCGCCATGCTGTGCGAAAGCTGCTCTGCCGTCAAGCTCAGGCTGTAGTGCTGGGCCTCCAGCCGCCGGCACTGGGTCTGCAGCACTTGGCGCTCCAGGTTTTGTTCTGCAAGGCCCAAAGGAGAGGGGGTGAACGCCGGCTCCTCTGGCTCCGTGCACGGCCCAGGACCGTGCCCGAGCCCCACGGTGCTGCTGCGGAGGATGCCAGCCCTGTGCGAGGCTCTGCCCAGCTGAAGGCGATTGCCTCCAGCATCCCAGAGCATCCCTGGCCCCTGCACTGCCCGCGGGGAGCCTCCAGGTCCCGCGGGGAGGGTGCCGGGCAGCCACGGATACATGAATTTTTCATGTATACATCAATTTTCACTGGCGCCTGTTGCTTTTATGCCACTCCAGCAGTGCCGGGGAGGCACCAGTGCTTCCCCAGCCCATCCCAGCAGGAGCCAGGGGTGCCTGGTCAGGGCACGGAGTGGTTTCACCCAGGGGAAACTGAGGCATGAAGTGAGGGTTTATCCCCTCCATCCCCTACCTTCTATATGTTCCTGGTAAGCTTCAAAAATTGCCTCGATCCCTTGCCACTTGGGCCTGGGGTACTCTTCCTCCTCTTCCTCCTCCTCCTCCTCCTCCTCTTCCTCGGAGGCCGAGTCGCGGGGCAGCGGGGGCAGTGGCCGGTGGGGCAGCGGCCCCTCGGCCGTGCCGTTGTGCGGGGGGGCGGCCAGGCGGCTGGACGCCTGCAGCTCGGGGATGTTGTAGTGGATGGGGGGGGTGGGCCTTGGCCACCCGCTCCCCGCGTCCCCCGCCCCAGCGCTGCCCTCCCTGAAGCTGCATTAAGATGCTCCCCTCGAGGTATTAATTTCCACCCCCCAGGCCATTTTTGGGGGGGCTGCAGCATCTTCTGTGGGTTTTCATCACCCCCCACCCCACGCACTGGAATAACTTGATTTTCCTCACTCATTGACACGAATGAATTTGCGGGGAATGGAGCTGTATTATCCCAGCGCCTTATATTTATCTTCATCCATGAGCTCCTGGAATGCTCCAGAAACAAGGTTGCTGGTGGATTTTGTGCCCTTGGCGATGCCAAACCCCAGCGGGAGGCCGAGGGGGGGGTCTCCCACCCTGCAGGGATGCTATCCTGGTGGTACCCAGCCAGCTTCCCGCGTCTGCCGTTACCTTTGTGCTTCTGCAACGCCTTCTGGGTGGACTGCAGTACCGACTCGTGGAACTGGTGGGCAAACTCCTCGGCGATGAAGGGCTCCCAGGGCTTGCTCTTGCCGTTCATGCTGTGGGACAGCGGCACCGGGATGTCCTTGGGCAGGGGACCCCTGACGTAGCTGAGGATGCTCAGCGCCTTCTTCCCGGGGTGCCCGTCACTCAGCCGGGGCTTCTCCGCCGGCGCGGTGGCCGAATCCTTAGCCCTCGGTAGCTCCTGGGGTCTCAGCTGGTCTAACCTGCCGGGTTCCGCCGTCTTCTGCGCCTCTGGCATGGAGACGGCGATGCCCACAGGTTTATCCAGATCCAGCAGGAGCGGTGGCACCGGCAGCTCTTTGGGCAGAGGAGGAGCAGAGTCGGCTGCAGTCGGGGCTCCGTGTCCCCCGCAAGGCAAAGCCGTGCCCCCCGTCCCGCCAGACAGGGGATGCTCCGGAAGGGAAGGACCGGGGGCGCTTACCGGTGGCGAGGCCGCTGGGGCTGTCCCGCGGGGAGCTCTTCACCACCACGGCAGCCGGCGTGGTCTTCTGCTTCATGGCCTGGAGCATCTCCACCAGCTTCTCCTTGTCTGCGGCATGGGAAGCTGAGGTTTAGTGTAGCCTCTGCTCAGCAGAGCAAGCTCATGGCCCCAGGCGGGACCCCTCCACGGCACCCCCAAAGCAGGGAGCGGGGACCCCCCGAGCCAGGGCTGGCCCCGAACATGCGCGGGGCATGGCTGTTACCTTTCCTCTTCTCGGCGCTGATGTGCGTGAGGTTGAAGATGGTGAGGAAGCGCTTCTTCTCCTCGAAGTTGGGGCTGTTGTTCATCTCGTCGGGGCTGTAGCGGGTGGAGAGCGGGAGGCGCGGGGAGGGCGTGCGGCGCTTGTTCTGCACCGTCGGCGGCGAGGGGCTCCTCTCCCGCAGCATCCGCCGGCGCTTGCGCCGCTTCTGGCTCAGCAATTCCTCCTTCTGCTGCTGCGTGGTGAGGCCGAAGAGCTGCAGGAACTCCAGCTTCTGGGACACCGAGGGGGAGAGCAGAGCAGGGTCACCCCCAGACTGGTCCCTATGCCCATCCTCATCTCCATCTCCATCATCTCCATCCCATCCCCATCATCCTCATCCCCATCCCTGACCCCCTGGCACCTCTGCAGCTGGCTGGGGACGGTGGCTGCACCGCAGCACTGGGAGCTGGTGCCCGCGGAGGGGCTACTCCCCGGGGGGACGGGGGACAGCGAGCGCTGGCTGTACCTCGGAGGACGTGTCCAGCTTCAGCGGGGGCTGCTCGGCCACGCAGCGGAGATGGGCCCGCACCTCCTCCTCATCGCTGTCATCGCAGGAGTCGTCCAGGTCATAGTAGTAACCTGGGGATGGAGAGAGGCTGGCATGAGACTGGGGAGACCATGGGGACCCCACAGGGACCTGCTGGGACCCCAAGGACTATGCTGGGACCCTGGGGAACCTGCTGGGACCCCGCTGGGGACAGGGGTGCAGCAGGGTGCTGTGCAGCGAGGCGGGATGCTGGGGGGAGCGGTGGGGGTCCAATGTGGGACCCAGTGGGGTACGGAGTGTAACCCAACCGAGCCCTGTCCCCCCCTTGCCGGCTGTGGGACCCTGGAGGGCATCGCCCACCCCTGCGGCCCCGCTCAGCATCGCTTTGGGACGGGTGGCGGGGGCTCAACAGGCAGGTTAATGGGGCACGGCCCAGGGGAGGCTGCGGCTGAGCCCCCATCCCCACTGGAGGGGGAATAGCAACGCCTGTTTC